AAAAAGAATAATACTGCAGCAGGGTCACCTCTGGGTGGTTGGCACGGTACTCACCAGGTCTTTGTGAAGGGCTTTGTTGAACAAGGTGGGCAAGTTCTTAAACCCCTGGGCAGTCTTGTCCAAGTCAGCTGCCCCTGGACCCTCTCTCTTCGTCCTGCCACTCAAAAGCAAATATTTCTTGGCTGTGCGCGGGGCCACGGCTAGGCTGAAAAAGGCATCTTTTAATCTAAGGACAGTGTACCAAAATCTGCGTTGGAGGAAGGGAGCTTAGTAGGGTGTAGGGGTTAGGAACCGTAGGGTGGATGTCTAGGACACGCGTGTTGACCTCCCTGAGGTCCTGCACAGGCTGATAATCCTTTCCACCGGTTTCTTCACTGGCACAAAGGAGTATTCACAGGCTGACTGGCACCTCAGGAGAACCGCGTCATAGGAGCCTTCGAATGTGGGCCGTTATTCCCACTCTAGCCTCCTGGCTGGGTAACTGTCTAACTCGGGCTGGCTCAGCCCTGGTTTTAACTCAATGTAAGAGGGCCGATGCTTTGCCCACCCTGCACGCTCTCTGGCACCCAGCTAGTCTTGTTTGACCAGTTTCCCGTGGTTCAGTAATCACCAAATGTTCTGCCTCCCGTGTCTACCAGAAATTGACTGGGCTCCTCTCCACTAGTAAAGTTCCTGGGCTTGGGGAGAGGGAACCGAGCCCCGTCCCTCCATTCATCTTCCTATTGCCCACCACCATAACCTTCTCGAGGATTAGCTCTACATCCCCTTCTTCTTGGGGCGGTTCTAGCCCAGTGTCCATGCTCCTTGCAACTGGCGCTGATCCTTGCCTAGCTCCCTCCGGGGTCACTCCGGCTTTTGCCCTAGCTGACTCCTCGTAGCTGCAAGTAGGATTTTGGCCATTCTTTGTTCACCTGCGCGCCTCGCGCCTGAAATGTTTCTAATCTTTAATCTTAGTGTTCTAACTTCGGGTGTCTTTTTGTTATATATACTTTTCTGCCCACTTTTAGCAGTCCTGGAGTTTTGTCGCAACAGCCTATCTATCCTTTTGCACTTTCGCCTAAATGTCCTGGGCTGCCTGATTCTACAAAAGGGCCAATTATGACAGCCGCTTTACCTCTTCTACGCTGGATTATCGGAGTGTCTGCCGAAGGCTTCTATACATAATTTTTCTAGGTAAGCTGCCGGACTTTCCTCAGGCCCCTGACGGACATCTCCTACCTGTAGCCAAATTGGCGGCTTCCGTGTGGCTGCTCAGAGACCGGCATCAGAGTCTGGCCGTAGGCCCGGAGACGCCCCTGCCTTCAGCCTCATTGTAGTCCCAGGGCGGCCGTTGGAGAGGGAAGGTCTGGTCGGTGACTCAGGGGTTGATGGTGTGCCGTCCTCCTGGAACCAGCTTCCGTGCTTCTGCTTGGATTTTTCTCTTCAGTTGTAAAAAGTACCTTGAGCAACTGTTGGCAACCATCCCAAGTGGGCTAATTTGAAAAAAAAAAGATGAATCTAAAAGTTAATTAATCCCCATCTGCTCTCAGGGGGAGCGCCCTCAGGGCTCCGGATCCTGGAGCCCTTTCAGCCCGCTGCCTAGCCCTGTAAGCCGGTCGCCTCAGCGGTTCCATTGGGCCATAGGCGCCGCAGGTACCATTGCGCCGCCACCGGGGTGGAGCGGGAGGGGCGCGGCGCCACCGAGAGGGCCTGGCACGGGCCGCTGCAGGGAGGGCCTGGATGGGCCGCCACAGGGAGGGCCCTGGGCACGGGCGCCGCAGGAGAGCGCAGGGCGCGGCGCCACCGAGAGGGCCCTGGGCACGGGCGCTGCAGGGAGGGCCTGGCAACGGCGCGCGCAGGAGAGCCAGGGCGCGGGCGCACGGGAGGCCCTGGGCACGGCGCCGCAGGGAGAGCGCAGGGCGCGGGCGCCACGGGAGGGCCCTGGGCATGGGTGCCGCAGGGAGAGCACAGGGCTCGGGCGAGCGCCGCCATCCTGTTTGCTTTGGCATCTCTCTCCCCTCACAAAGGTCCTGTGCCCCCTCCCTCACATCCTTAAAGTGACTCACGAGGATAGACAACGGCGTCGTCAGAGTCTGTCTCATTCCCGAAAAGAAGAGGAAATCCTAGACACAGGACAGGAATCACTCTCACAATCGCACAGGTGTAAAGACAAGACCAATGAGGCCCAAGTAACAAAATGATTAAACAGACGAATAAACAAACAAAACAAAAACAAACAACAACAACAACAAAAACAAACTAAACAAATTGACCCTCCTGTTCCGGAACCTCTCCCCGGTCCCCTTCTGACCGAGCCTCCAGCTCCAAGGTCAGCCGTGGGGATTCCAAGGAGGCCAGCAGACGTCTCCGTCTGGCCTCCACGGCCACCCAGCAGCGCGTCCGCCTAGGTCCTAATGCGGGTCCACTAGTCCGGGGCTCCAATCTATACACTCCTTCCCCGGCTCTGCGTCCTATCCAGCGGTCTGCGAGAATCCCGGACGAGCCCCCAAATGTTATATCCGAGATTCACAAGGCCGCAGGACAGAGAGACAGAGTCACCGAGGCTGTAATTACCAAAAGGAGTTTCATTGTCTAGCTCGAGCTAGGGTCCGAGCCCCCAGAGTGCCAGCGCAGTGGCCTCTTCTCCGGGCAGGGCCCCTCCTTAGGGCCCCTTTTATAACTTAGTTGTTTACACACTGGTCTTGCATCCGCCCCACAGTGATTCTTACTTCATCCTGCCCCTGATAGGCCCTAACCTGTTCCGGGTCCTAGCTGAGAGACTCCGGTTTTTGCCCTTTGTCTTTTTCCTCTGCATCCCATAGTATACCCATAATGCCTTGCGGTCAGCAAACAAGCAGTAAACAGAAGCTGGAAGGTGTCTATTGTCCTTATAGCCCAGTATCTTACAAAACCATCTTGGGAAAAAGAATTGTAACGCCCAGCCCTGACAAGGGTGTGCTCTTGGGGTATGGGGGATCGGTAAAATGGAGAAACCATGGAAAGCAAGCTGGCTACTCCCCTAGGAAAATAATCCGCATCAGCCGGACAGATCACTTATGCACCAGTGTGCGCTGAAGTGTGACAGGGAAACACGAACTGTGAAGACTGGCGTAGACCCTTACGCTGCTGTCCCCGCGCCCACAGGGGCTTCAGTGTTGCCCGCGCACAGAAAGCCAATCCCTGGGACAGGATTGTCAGGCGGAAAGGATTTATTTCTGTGGACATGTCAGCAGGGCGGGGGAGGTATGAACTGCCGCAGACCCAGCTCCCTGGCCAACAGGGTCAGGGCTTCTCTGCAGGTGAGCTGAAAAACGCGCGGGGCGGGCGCACTGCGTGTCTGGGGCGGAGTGCAGGGCACGCAAGCGCGGTGGGAAATCACCCTAGCACAGATGTCCCGTGATCAAACAGTGGCGGGTAAGTCCTCCCAGGGCAGAGATTTCTGTGTTATAATTAACTAGGGGTTAATATTGGTTGTTCTTTCAGCCTTGTGCGCAGGCTCAGTGGGTCTTTGGGCACCGTCTGTGGCGGAGTATCGCTTCCCGTGTCTTCTCCAGACACCAGGCGGTGCGAGGCTTTGCAGAGGTGCTGCCGTTCCTGGGAGAGAAACTCAAAAGAGAATGCATCAGTACAGCAGAAAGCTACAGCGTCCTGGGATCAATACATTTTGCTAAGGAATTCTCTATTTTCTGCCTCATTGAGACTGTAGCTGCTAAGTTGCCAAGGGTGAGATAAATCTCACTGTCAAGGCCACTTAGAGTTGCCAGCCCCAGCCATAATGTGAACACTAAAAACTTATGTGAAATATGGGGAACTAAACATTATTGAGAAAACATGTTCTTGCTTATAGAACCAGTTACACTGTTCCATTACAAAGAGTTTGAAGTGAAAATACTGGCACATGCGTGGTTGGGAAGCAAGGAGGTTACAAAATATATAGTACATGATTATAATTCCATGACACCCGGCACTATTTCCAGGTGTGTGTGTGTGTGTGCGTGTGGTTAGGCTAGGTAATTTTAAACTTTTTATATTTTATTTTCCAAATTTTTTAGCATAGACATATATCAGAAAAAATAATTTTTAAAATTGTGTTTGTACAACGGACAATGGCCAGTGTATGCAGTAGAACTCTGACCAGCACCCTCTGCAGTAACTGGGCCCAAAAGCTAAATAAACCACAGCCTCTGCAGCAGTGGAGTGAGATGGAGAGGACTTGGTCACCATTCTCCTCCTTATTTTTTGTACCCTGCCCCCAACCTGAGAACCATCCCTAGAAAATCAAATATGCTTCCCACACCACTGACATAGAACATCCTGCTTCTTGTTAGCTCACCTCCAGCTTTCAATAGCCTGCAATCAGAGCACACTGAAAGCCTTCCCACTGCACTGCCTGCCTTTGAGTCTGCCAAGTACAAGTGGTGGCCAACTCCCTTGCTATATAGCAAGCTCTGAGTACTCTTCTTTCTCTTTTAGGTGGTCTTCCTTCATTTCCACGTTTGATTTATTGTGGCTGAGAAAAGGCGTCTATAAAGAATGTTTTATGATTGGTGAAAGGAGCAGAATAAAAAATTTCATATATAGTATCAGTTCAACTCTGAAAAAAACCACCAAAATACCAAGTTAATACTAGTCTTAAGTACAAGGAAAAAGTGCTTTTCTACTTTTCTGTATTTTTTCCTCCTCTCTGCAATAAACCTGTAATCCTTTAAAAATTCATATACATACTTTTTTTCTTAGAAATTATAATTTCCAAGAAATTTCCAAGAATGATTTGATGAGTGGTTTGGTACAACTTAAAAGACAAGGTCTCCCTCTGTCACCCACACCGGTGATCTACCCACCTAAGCCTCCTGAGTAGCTAGGACTACAGGCTAGAGCCACTACACCTGGTAATTGTTTTATTTTTTGTAGAGAAGTCTTCGTATGTTGACCAGGCTGGTCTCCAACTCCTGGCATTAAGTGATCCTCCCATCTCAGCCTCCCAGAATGTTGGGATTATAGGTGTGAGCCACTGTGCCCAGCTAGTAAGTGGTTTTAAAATATAGTCATTCATGTTTACTCATATAAAAATATACTTTACATTTTTATTAGTATTATTCACATATTATTTAATGTTATTGTTCTGGTTGTTAAACATTTTGAATTATCTTCCTAGGTTGAATGATTACTAGATAAAAGTACTGTTGTACATTTTTATATATTTTTATCATTCGAATAGGCTAGATTCCTTTTTTTTTTTTTTTTTGAGACAGAGTCTCACTTTGTTGCCCAGGCTAAAGTGAGTGCTGTGGCGTCAGCCTAGCTCACAGCAACCTCAAACTCCTGAGCTCAAGCGATCCACCCACCTCAGCCTCCCGAGTAGCTGGGACTACAGGCAAGCACCACCATGCCCGGCTGATTTTTTTTTCTCTATATATTAGTTGGCCAATTAATTTTTCTGTTTATAATAGAGACGGGGTCTCGCTCTTGCTCAGGCTGGTTTCAAACTCCTTACCTTATGCAATCCGCCCGCCTCGGCCTCCCAAAGTGCTAGGATTACAGGCGTGAGCCACTATGCCCAGCCGGCTAGATTCCTTTTATAGTCTTCCCTTTAATTTCCTTGGTGTTCACAAGTTTATTCTTCTACATGGTATATCTTTTTTTTTTTTTTTTTGTGAGACAGAGTCTCACTCTTTTGCCCAGCCTAGAGTGCCATGGCATCAGCCTTGCTCACAGCAACCTCAAACTCCTGGGCTCAAGTGATCCTCCTGCTTCAGCCTCCTGAGTAGCTGGGACTACAGGCATGCGCCACCATGCCCAGCTAATTTTTTCTATATATTTTTTGTTGGCCAATTAATTTCTTTGTATTTTTAGTAGAGACAGGGTCTCGCTCTTGCTCAGACTGGTTTTGAACTCCAGACCTTGAGTGATCCTCCCGCCTTGGCCTCCCAGAGTGCTGGGATTACAGGCATGAGCCACTGTGCCTGGCCAAAAGGATCATTTTTAAGACCAGCTATAAAATCCATACAGATAGACACTAGCAGTTGCCTGGGACTAGGCGTGGGAATGGGAATTGACTACAAATGGGCCTGGGGTCTTTCTGGGGTGATGGAAATGTTCAAAAATTGCATTTGTGGAGATGGTTGTCCAACTCTGTAAATTTACTAGAAATCACTGAATTTAAAACAAGCAAATTTTATGGTATGTAAATTATACCTTAATAAAGCTAATAAATAAAAAAAACCCAAAAACCAGCAGCCATAGAGATATGCAGTAGCCCCCATCTAAAGTTTCACTTTGTGTAGTTTTTTTGTGGCTTCAGTTACCTGTAGTCAACCACCCTCTGGAAAATGAGTGAGATGTTGTGAGAGACCACATTCACATAGCTTTTATCACAGTATATTCTCATAATTTTTCTATTTTTATTGTTGTTAATCTCTTACTGGGCCTAATTCACACATTAAACTTTATCATAGGCATGCATGTACAGGAAAAACAGTATATATAGGGCTCGGTACTGAGGTTTCAGGCCCCCAACCAGGGGACTTGGAACATACCCCTGTAGATAGGGGGGACTGCTGCATCTTTTAGTAGAAGCAAGAGCAGCCCTGTGTGTGGGTACTGTACACCAATAGCTAGCTTTAGCTCTTGCTACAAAGTGAGGGGTCCTTGTGACTCAGCCCTACGCTGGCTCAGCCCACTGGTTGATGTGCTTCACAGTCTGCTTCCTGCAGCCCAGGCCCAAGGACTCACTTCCTGTACCAGGACCCATAGCCTCCCACTCATGGAGATGGGTACCCCCAACTGCAGCCCTGCCCAGCCTGCACCAGCACCTTCCGTGTCCCCATCCAACTCAGCACTCCTCACACTCCAGGGGGACTAAGTGTCCTGAATTTCCAGAACACAGCCAGGGCCCTGCACCTGGCCCCAGGAGAAGCCAAGAAGCCTAAGCAATGGGCGAGGGCCACAGTAAGGCACTGTACACGGTTTGGGTTTTATTTCTTTCAGGGATTTATTAAGGCATTAAGCACAGTGTAATTTTTAGCCAACTAAAATGAATCCAAGGAAATATTTCAGGGCCTGAGGGATGTGCTTTTAAAGTTAATGGTAAGGATGATGAACTGAGAGAGCGCGTAATGTCATGCCTGTGCGTGGCACCCGCCCTGTGGTGACTTCTGCCTGTGTTTGATAGTCAGGAGGCTCAGGCTGGAGGGCTTCCGGAGAGTACCCTGTAGCTTCCATCACTTTGGTGCCCAACAAGCACATGACCCTGGACCATGCGGGAGAACGGCCGTGGGCGGGGACCAGCATGGGGCAGAGCAGCAGGAGGCAGATCTGACAGTCTCTGACACTGTGCAGGGTGGCTGTTGCCAGATGGGCCCCCCACTGGGTGGCAGGGTGGGGACACCAGCCTCTTCCTGGACCTGGGGAGCAGCTGGCGCCAGGAGATGCACACCTGGGGATCCATCTAAGGCACCTGTGCCGGCATCGGCCTTCTTTCCACTCCAACTCACTGCTCTGGGGCGAAGAGGAAGGGTGCATCTTGACAAAGGGAACAGAAAGGGAGCAAGGGCAGGAGGAGACAAGGCCTCGGGCAGGGCCTGTGCAGCTACAATGATCAGCCTGAAGCTTCAGGATGCTCGTGGTCACTGGAGGTGCTGAACTGCCGCTCCACCTTCTTTTGGTCCTTGATCTTAAGTCGAACATCCACCCTCTTCTCAAAGAAGTTCACCAGCACAGACTCCGTCAGGACAGAGGCCAGGATCTGCTCGAAGGAGATGCACCAGTCGGTGTCGACGGTGCCGCCGCCGCGTGCCGTGGGGCTGCGGGCCTCCCCGCCCACCAGCACCGTGTCGTCTGCGAGGTCCTCACACTGTAGGGAGCCTGTGCTGACCACTGAGTAGGAGGACATGGACATGTCGTCTTTGGTGTCATCATCGGACAGCAGCTGGGAGGGTGAGCCCTGTCCCTCGCCGCTGCCCCCCTCGGCCACCACCTGGCTCTCCTGCGGCGCTTTCCCGAGGTGGGTGTCTCCACCAGCTTTGGCCTGGGGGTCCCCCCCAGCTGATGCCTGGGGCTCCTGGGCTGGGTCCTGATGGGGCTCAGGTGCTGGTGGCTCGTCCTCCATGGCAGCGTCATGGTCCCCACTATGGGCACCATCTCTGGGCTTCCTGCCCGAGAATTTCTTCCCCACCTCACCGATGCGGAGAAGGAGGCTGGCCACCGTGGCGATGGCGTGGTACAAGTCCTGCTCCATGGGGTCTTCACTGAACATGTTGTAAAGGGTCTTGCACAACTCGATAAATTGCTCCTTTTAAGGAGAAAAACAAAAAGAACAGGGAAATGTAAGAGTTGGGTCAGACTGCCCGCATATTGGCTAGACTGGCCATTCTAACAGGTACTGGATGTGGTCTTGAGTCCTCTCCACAAACCTGTCCCCATCATTTCCTCTTCACAGATTAGGATGCAGGCTCAGAGAGGGAGAGTGACTTGACTAACACCACACAGCTCTTCAAAGGCTTTCTTTTTTTTTTTGAGACAGTCTCGCTTGTTGACCAGGCTAGAGTGAGTGCCGTGGCGTCAGCCTAGCTCACAGCAACCTCAAACTCCTGGGCTCAAGCAATCCTCCTGCCTCAGCCTCCCGAGTAGCTGGGACTACAGGCATGTGCCACCATGCCCGGCTAATTTTCTATATATATTAGTTGGCCAATTAATTTCTTTCTATTTATAGTAGAGACGGGGTCTTGCCTTGCTCAGGCTGGTTTCGAACTCCTGACCTCGAGCAATCCGCCCGCCTCAGCCTCCCAGAGTGCTAGGATTACAGGCTTGAGCCACCACGCCCGGCTTAAAAGGTTTTCTTTTCCAGTGCCTCTCTTTTAGCACCGGGAGGATGTGGTTCTGGCCTGGAATCTCTCCCCTTGTCTAAGTCCTCTTAGCAGAGAGAGACATTTCTATCATGACTTTCTAAACTGTCACTACAAGGACTTCTTTGTCATGTCTTAGAATCACTTTTGACTTTTTATATTTTTAATTAAAAGCAACTTCAACTCTGCCCTTTCAGGAAGCTCTTGGAGGGCAATGGGAAGGTGAGCACAAGCTGGGTCAGCTGAGGAGTGGGTAGGAAGGCAGGTTCTAGGTCTTTAAACCACATTCCCAGGCCTCTGTGGCTGAGAGAGGGATGAAACCTATTCTACGGGGTGCACCATTCTTCTGGCTCACGGGTGGGAGCGTGCTCAGACTGTAGGGTCCCCCTCTGGGCACAGCCAGGGCAGGGTCTGGCCTGAGGGCCATGGTCAGGCTGTAGCTCAAGAACTGCCTTGATTGGATGCCTGCAGTCTGAATCGTGGGGCTGCCGTTTCCCGGCAATGAGACCCTTGCCAAGATGCCAAGCGCTCGACAGAGAGACCAGAGCGAGCAGTGGGCCATGGAGGGGTTGCTTGGGCCTGCATGTGCTGGGCAGGGCCTGGGAGGGGCAGGAGCACTTTCTCTTTATTTTTTTGAGGCAGAGTCTCACTCTTGCCCTGGCTAGAGTGCCATGGCATCAGCCTAGCTCACAGCAACCTCAAACTCCTGGGCTCAAGTGGTCCTCCTGCCTCGGCCTCCCGAGTAGCTGGGACTATAGACATATGCCACCATACCCAGCTAATATTTTCTATATATTTTTAGTTGTCCAGCTAATTTCTTTCTTTCTTTTTTTTTTTTTTTTTTTTTTGAGACAGAGTCTCACTTTGTTGCCCAGGATAGAGTGAGTGCCATGGCGTCAGCCTCAGCTCACAGCAACCTCAAACTCCTGTCTCAAGCAATCCTCTGCCTCAGCCTCCCAAGTAGCTGGGACTACAGGCATGTGCCACCATGCCCGGCTAATTTTTTCTATATATATTAGTTGGCCAATTAATTTATTTCTATTTAGAGTAGAGACGGGGTCTCACTCTTGCTCAGGCTGGTCTCGAACTCCTGACCTTGAGCGATCCGCCCGCCTCGGCCTCCCAGAGTGCTAGGATTACAGGCATGAGCCACCGTGCCCGGCCTCTTTCTATTTTTTTAGTAGAGACGGGGTCTTGATCTTGCTCAGGCTGGTTTTGAACTCTTGACCTTGAGCGATCCACCTGCCTCAGCCTCCCAGAGTGCTGGGATTACAGGCGTGAGCCACCGCGCCCAGCCAGGAGCGCTTTCTTGTCAGAGGTGCTGTCTGAGTCTCTGGCTATTGGGGGTTGACATTCTCCAGTGCTGGTCTGGTTCATGAGTGCTGACTGAATCTGAGTGAGCTGTCACCATGGAAACACCTGTACACCTGTACAATGCCTTAGAGCCACTGACCTCTTGTCTTTCTGGAGTCATCACTGACTGCTACCCAAGAGTAACGGGCTCTAGAGGCAGGGAGGGAATTCCTACCCCACAGGAGATGGCTGGAGGGAGGGCGGTGTGATGCTGCACTGTCAGGTCTTCGTCAGAATTCTCCAGACATGTCTGTCTTGGGGTCCAGCTGAGCCTACCTGGTTCATCTTGGGAAGATCCTTGATCGTCTCCTTTTGAGCCTCCTTCTCCTTGGCCCACATTCGAAGGTAATACCGGTAGTCTGGAGGGCTGGTCACCTTCTCCTCTGTGAGTTAGGAGAAGAAGAGATTAATCTTCATCTGTCAAATAAGAGGAAGAGAGCTGGGGGCTGGCAACAGGGAGCAGTGGGGTTGGATATTCTCTGGCATGGAGTTACCTGGGCCCTATTACAAAACACCCTGGCATCTGGGAAGGCAGTGAGGGGGAAAACACTCCAGAACACCCACATGTCTCCTCTAAATCTGCCAAAGTAGTTGGACCTTAGCTGATGAAATGGCGCTAGACCTGTGTTCCCCACAATAATGACAGAACCACGTGCAGGCCAGAGAGAGGTTGGCACGAGAGGGAGGTGCTGGCCAGGCAGCCAGAGGGGACAGGCCCGGGGCTGGTGGAGAGCAGCATCCCCATGGCAGGGATGGGCTGGCCATCTACCTCGAGGGTCAATTCCTTTGTCAGGGCACTTGTTTGCCATTTCCCTGGGAAGGGCGTCTCTTTGGCAGTGACCGGGGACAGACACAAGAAGCAAGGGTGCCCAAACCCAGGGACCCTGGGATCGCTCACGCCACCAGTGGAGCATGGCCCATACCTCCTTTTTCTCGGACATCCTCATTTCTACTCTCTTCTTGCTCTTCCAGTGGTAGTGCTTTTGGACAACCGGAAAGATAAAAGGAACAAGAACATTCTTCTGTTACGACTGCAAACCATGGGGACCTTGAGAGGCCCCGCTCTGTGGTTCTGCAGAACCAGCCCAGGCTAGGTCCTGGGGGCAGAGCCCAAGCACTGCAGCTTCACTTGGGGACATTAAAACAAACCCCACTTCCTCTTTTTCAAAGGAACGCCTCACCACGCTATTTTTTAAGAGAAGAACTATGCATGGTATGGACAAGTTTGAGAACTAATACATTAGGTCCTAATTTCCAGTTCTACTGTGCCTGCCATGCCAGTTGATGAGAGGTTCTGCGGACACAGACGCTGTGCTCTGTGCTGTTATTCCACGGGAGATCACACTTGCTGGGGCTGGCATGCACCACACTCCTGTGCATACACACGCACCTGAAGAGCAGCCTGCCAGCTCTCCCAGGGCTGTCCCCTGAGACAGGGTGGCCAGCAAGGGACCTTGGGTGGAGATGGCAGCACCTCAGCTCTCAGGGGCCCATACCCATGGCAGTGTGGGTGGCCGTGAAGGGCTCTTTGGGCTCAGGTGTCTCATGCTGGAGTGGAGACCTGCTGCCTGGTGGCCGAGAGGGGTCTAAGGACAGGGATCTGCAACACCAGGCCTCCCCAGAGCATGTGGGACAAGCCTAAAGCATCTTGGACTTGCCTAGGTGACAAGTATACACGGTGCACTTGCTTCTGTAGTTTGGACACTTAAAATCAAGGTCCTCAAGCTTCATGTTCAAATTCAAGTAAGCCTTTGGCACTGTCAACAGGACTGCCACAGGCAATTTGACACACGCTATTTTTTATTTTCCCTCTGGGCTGGCTCCTTAGTGTGTGTTATCCCCCACGTGAAGTTACAGGGTGCAGCTATGGCCAATTGCCAAACCCCAGGGCTCAGAAGGCCATCACTCTGGACTGGACGCTCCCAACAGGCAAGAAACGTAGCACAGGGGTGAGTTCTAACAGGTGCTTAACATGTGTGTCTTTCCTTAACAAAAACATGATGTGGAACATGATGCTCTCCTAGGAAGGCATTCCCTCCAGCCTCCACTTGTGTGCTGTTTCTCATGGCTGCAAAGACAGCATTTATATTTCTTTCCTAGGAACGTGACAAAACCCCTTTTGTGTGTGGCTGCAGAGGCGACGGCCTGCCTGCCTGCCACCCAGTGAGACGCATGCTTGACACGCATATCGAACGCGAAGGCTGCCCCTCTGTCATCAGTGCAGGAGGGTGGCTGGGTTCCAGGTCCTTCTCAGGACTTATCCCCACAGCATGAGGTCCTGGAGGGGTCCCTTGGACAAAGAGCTTCCCGCTGGATCATGCAGGACAGTGACAGGGAGACAAAGCCCAGAGGCAAAGGTGGCCCCGCCTTCCAGGGACTGACCTTGAGCCCCCCAGGGCAGGGAAAGATCCAGATCTGAGGTCAGAGGAGCCGCTGGAGGGGATGGCAGAGGAGGAGCAGAGGGCAGAGAGAGGAGGAGCCAAGGTCCAGGGAGACAGACACACAAGAGAAACAGGAGTGAGAAGATCCATGGGGACGGCCTGGCCCCAGAGCGTGGCAGGGCCCAGCCTGTGGCCCCGGGAGCACCCGATGCAGCACGCTCAGAGCCCAGGCCCCGGGGAGGCCGCGGTGGCTGCACAGTCATGGCTGGCGCTCAGGCGTCCCAGCCTGTGTGGCCCAGGGGAGCACCCGATGCAGCATGCTCAGAGCCCAGGCCCCGGTGGCTGCGCAGTCATGGCTGGCGCTCAGGCGTCCCAGCCTGTGTGGCCCAGGGGAGCACCCGATGCAGCATGCTCAGAGCCCAGGCCCCGGGGAGGCCGCGGTGGCTGCGCAGTCATGGCTGGCGCTCAGGCGTCCCAGCCTGCTCACCTGCTGAGGAGCTGTCCTCTGTGAAATAGCGGGCTGCTTCCAGGGCGGAGTCGGCTTCCTCCGGGCTCAGGGCTGTGCTCGAGAGAGGAGTGAGAGCAGGAGACGGAGAGCTCCCACGCCAAGCAGAGCTCCCCAGTCGGGGCACAGGCCTTGCTCTCCCTGCCGGCTTCCCTACTGGTCCTAGCACCCCTGATTAGAACTCTCGGTAGCACTTTTGATGAAGATGCTTAGTTCTGATTATTTGTAGCTTTCCTGACTTTTACATTGTGTTTGAAAACGAAAAATACACCCTGGGCAAAAATTCCATCAGTGTGATCAGGAGCCCAGGACATGGCAGCTACCCTCTGCCCTCTCTCCGGCGACCCTCCGTCCAGGGGATCTTTCCGAGTGCCGGGTGCTCCTACAGGCAGGCGGGAGGCCGGCCACGCACAAGCAACACGGCGCTTTCACTCTCGACAGATGGAGGGCCCTCCACATGGGCCCTTCCTGGCCTGTCTGGTGCTGGGGCAGCGACGGAGCGGTGCCCAGGGCTGCAGATCCACACAGCCTGCATGGGGCCCACCACCCTGCTGTGAGGAGCAGGCGCAGCAAGGGGATCCACGGTGAGCATGGGGACAGCAGGGTGTGGGCCGTGTGCCACGCCTGGACAGGGCAGGGCGGGCCAAGGCGGCTCGAGGGTGTTGGGGCAGCCCTCAGCTGTGGGACCCAGGCTTGGCGGGGTCTGTCCATCCAAGGCCTCTCTGGTGGCAGGGTCAACCCTCCCAGAGGTGGTTAAAGGGGAAGCCAGGCACAGGTGAGAACACCTGTGCCAAGAGCCTTTTCAGCTCTGGAGGCCCAGAGGGATGCCTGGGAGCTTCACAAACAAAAGGTCTGGGCCCCTGCACAGGCAATTAACTGAGAACCCCTGGGGGTGAAGCCCAGCCCAGTATTCTAAAAATCACTCGGGGGGAGCAGAGTGCCCTGAGCCATCACCGTCACCTGCCCGAGTCTGTTTCCTCTGTGATACTGGGGACCAGCAGTCCTCAGAGAACTCTCCACACAGCCACCCTTGCTGTGCCAGGTAGCTTCCCGCCCTGGCGGGAGCCCCTTGCCCCTGTGGGCTCTGGCCCAGCTTCCGTGAGCCCTGTCCCTGCCCACCCAGCGCCACAGCAGATGTGCCCCCACTGTGCCATGAGGCAGCAGCAGGCGTGGAGGCCAGAGAGGAATGGGCCTTCCTCATGGCCATGGGACAGGGCTCCCCAGGATGATCCCCTCAAGAAACTTGACAGTCTCAGTTTCAAACTTGAGTCCTGTTCGCCAACCCCTCATGGTTTTGGGTGGAGCTGCCCATTCGACGGGTGGAGCTCTGCTTCTAGAGACACCCGGGCACCCGTGGGACTCTCCTTCACATTCCTTCCCAGGCCGTGGCCGGCTCTCAGGCCCAGTGCCCCGGCTCCCTCTTCCCCACTCCTCCTCCACCATGCTGAGCTCCCTGTGCCACCTCGAGGTCCCACAGTCTCATGGAGGCCTGTGCCTGCACCTTGGGGTGCTGCATCCTGAACTCTGGACAAGGAGGCGGCCCTGGTCAGGCACAAGGCAGGGGCGGCTCTCACCTGGGGGAAGGTGCAGCTTGTACAGCACTTTGAGCTTCTCTGTCAGGTCTCCGTGGTACATCCCACCTGTGGGAAAGGCCAGGGAGGGGGTGCGCTGGCAAGGCGGCTCCAGAGCCCCTTCTAGGGGGTTCTAGCGGGGACCCTCTTCACAGCCCCAGTCGTCTGACTCCCTCCTGGAGAGGCCACTGGAGCCAACCCCAGGCTCTGCCCGCCCTGGAGCCCCACCAGGGAAGCCTGGCCCTTCCCCAGGGCTGGCCGGCCCAGTCTCTAGCTGCCCTGTGCTGCATGACGGGGGAGGCGGCCGGGCTCCCACTGGACCCCAGCCCATCTCCAGCAGGTAACCTGCTCCTCCCTCACCAAGGGCCAAGGACTCCAGGCTGCCTTCTGTTTGCTGCAGCAGGGGCAGACGGGCTGCGCTGTAATTTGGAAAGCTTCTTGGGAAAGGGTAAGGGCTGGGCTAGGCCCCTGGTAGGCCCGAGGGGCACTCACTCATCCCTGTCACGAACTCCTTGAAGTTGATCAGCAAGTCCTTGTTTTTGTCCAGAAGCCGGAACATGCGCCCCGCCAGCACAGGTGTATGGGAGCCGCAAGCCCAGGGTGTCAGGCTGGCAAAGAGATCCTGGAACTGGTCCATGTCAATCCGGTACTGCTCCAGGTAGGGCAGGCTGGGGTCCCGGCGGCCGGCGGCTGCGCTGCTGCTCCCCCAGTACTGGCTGGCCAGGTGTTTGGCCTGCAGGTACGCAGTCTGGTGAGATGGCCTCACTGCTAAGCCCTGGGGCCGTTAGGATCACTGGACTGGCCAGGACGTCCACCCTCCCCCTCTGTCCAGGCCTGCAGAGCCCTGGTGAGGTGAGTAACTCATAGGGCCTCTCATGCTGGCAGCACCAGCCCCTTGGTGATGGGGGTAGGGAGGTGGGAGGGCTGTTGCTGAAAGACAGTGCCTTCGGCAGCCCACAAGAGGCAGAGCTGGCTTGACTATTGTGACCCTAAGGCCATGGTGTGTGCCCACCTTGGGAACTGGACCTGAAGTGGCTGGAGGAGGGTGGGGACTGGCAACGAGAGCAGGAAGGCAGTGTGGGCTCCACTGTTTCTGCCTCCTCTCCAGCACCTTCCCCTCCCTGTTAACAGTACCCCAAATCTTGGAGAACCCCTCCTGTCTCACCCTCAGCTGACCAGCCCCATCTCCAGGGATGGGTGGGGTCATGCACCCCCTATCCTGTAGCCACACCACCTAACTCGAGTCATTCCAGTGATCAACTCTAGCTAGGCATTTTGCTAAAACCACTTGGAAAGAAAATTTCTAAGAATTTGGAAGACGGGATAGCCTTGGAGATGCTGATGACAGTCCTGCCACTCTGCAGGAAGAGCAGTCCAGAGGACATCAGACGTGGGGGACCCTGACAGCCCATCTGAGCACCTGGATTCAGCCATGCCTGAAGCTGTTCATTCTTAGACTTTTCAGTTACACAAGCCAATGCATTCCTTCTTCTGTGTAAGCTGACTTGAGTAGGTTTTCTGACATTTAAATGTGTCCCACCTAGGCTGGGCGTGGTGGCTCACGCCTGTAATCCTAGCACTCTGGGAGGCCGAGGCAGGCAGATTGCTCAAGGTCAGGAGTTCGAAACCAGCCTGACCAAGAGCGAGACCCCGTCTCTACTATACATAGAAATAAATTAATTGGCCAACTAATATATATAGAAAAAATTAGCCGGGCATGGTGGTGCATGCCTGTAGTCCCAGCTACTCGGGAGGCTGAGGCAGAAGGATCACTTGAGCCCAGGAGTTTGAGGTTGCTGTGAGCGAGGCTGACGCCATCGCACTCACTCTAGCCTGGGCAACAAAGCAAGACTCTGTCTCAAAAAAAAAAAAAAAAAGTCCCACCTAAATTCCAAAGAGGATTATATTCTACATGAGGTTTATGGTAACTATATCTGAGAATGCTTTTACATTTATTTCTCTTCTGGCAGGAAGCTGCTGTGCTGAGGATGTATTTAGGGGACTAGGATGGGGTACTGGTCCTGCCCTGGCTCTTGGCTGTCACCTTAAACACCATGTAGAGGTCCTCCAGCTCTTCAATTGAGAAACCAATGTCCACTGGAATAGCTCGGACCTAGAAGGAAAGAGAAACAGGATGTACTAATGGATTCTCAAGCTCCTGCTGTGGTAGAAATAAGATCTCTTAGAGAGGATCCTCACGTGCACAAGGCAAAGGCATGAACTGCCCTCAGATGTCACCAGTGGGCCCAGCACTCGAGGTCAGTCCATTCAGGAAATAGGACACAGTCCACAGGCTCACCCCTCACCCCCAGTCAGCTCACACTCCCTGAGCTCCTCCCGGGGTAGGCCTTTCTCTCCTGAGCTCCCAGTTGCAGGTCACAGGGTAGGGAGAGCCACTGAGCTCCTGGTGTCTGGATCCCGATCCAGGCCCTGGTACTGGCTCTTTGTAAGGGGTCTTGGGACTCGCAGGCCAATTCTCCTTTACTTTAATTAGCCGGAGTCAGTCAGATTCTGCTGCTTGTGACCAAGGTACCCTCACAGCGGCCCGCAGGCCTGTAGGAGGAGGGTGGGAACATGAAGACAAAGTAAGAAGTCCCTGCCTTTGGGGCGAGGAGGACGAAGGCTTGCAGCAGGGACGTGGGGTGTGTGGAGGAGCAGGGGCGGAGAAACTTCCCACTGATTCACCCATGAACAGAAAAATATGACCTGGGTTTCTCCCCACACCCCCAGATTTGTGCCTCCAGCCCTGGGTTCGTGATGCACAGCACCCTCCCAGGACACACACACCCAGGCAGCGTGGGGCAGGTGCAAGTGGACTCTGCATCCGCCCCGCTGTGTGCAGACAGCGCCTGGCCCAGCGCTGCAGCCCCCGCCCTGCCCTGCTGGCCGCCTACCACGCCCCCGCCCTGCCCTGCTGGCCGCCTACCACGCTTCTCTTGGCTGTGTCCTCCAGGGACTGGATCACTTTTAGCCTCTGTTTAAACCGCATCTGTTCAATGTCGTCGGCTCTCAGGCTGCTGAATTTCTACAGGCCAGAGGTGATTCAGTGAGATCAAGCTAAGCAGGAACAGAGGGTCACCACCCGCTGTGGCCATCTGAACCCCCCACGGCTGGATGGGAGGCCTGGCCAAACCAGCTTGGTGAATGCTACCTCATAGGACACTTTCAGAAGCTCAAAGATGTCCACCTCTGCAGGGGGGTCATCCCCACTGGTCAGCAAGGCGTGGAGGTGTGGGATGGGAAGGGAAACACTCTGCTTATTGACCACGTTATCCAGGTACCTGCAAGATTAGAGGACAAAGTCTAGACCACAGGCAGCAGGAATGTCTGTCTCACAGCTAGGTGATAAGGAGGGACCTGATTACATACAGACTCTCAATGGAGAGCTTGCTGAGGCCTGGGCAGCCTCCAGGAGGGCAGAGGTGTGCCACAGCAGGCCCCTGGCAAGTTGGAAAGCCTCAAGGCCTTGTCCCCTGAGGCCTGAGCTCCGAGGATACCAGCCTGTCTTCTGGGGGCCGTGGGCAAGAAATCTTCACAAGCCGGGACCTGCCCAGGTTGGGAGATAAGGTGCTCCCTTTTCTGGTGGGTCATTAGGCATGTGGGGACTCCCTGCCATGGCCAGGAAGAATCATGGACCGAAGGGGTGAGTCTCAGGAAAGAGCTGGGAGAAGGCCTGCTGTGGTGGTGTCATCAGTGGCCCAACGAACTGGCTTCTCCAGGGACACATCCCTGAGGACAGGGCTCTCCTCTAGCCAGCCGACCTAGCCTGGCCAGGGCCCCATGCCTCACACTCAGATGATAGGGTGTGGCTGGCAGCCCCGCACCCCTTGGTCCTAGGCAGACCCCAGCTCCTGAGGAGAGGCCCTACCTGCCTGCTGTAGGAGGTGGGCAAGCAGGCCAGCCACACACTGGCTGCTGGCTGGTGTCTTGACAAATGTGTGGACCCAAAGTACCATAGTTCAGAGCAGGGAGGTGACAACCCTGCCAGGTCTACAGGGCCCCAGTCAGCACCTGGGCTGGCTCAGCAGGCAAGGGGTCTGGGAGCACTCTAGGCCAGGCCAATATGCCTGTGTGACATGCAGGACTGAAGAGCTCAGGGCATGGGCCAGAGTGAGACTGGGAGGGGGCATGGGCTTAAAGGCCAGGCTGGGAGACAGCGCCTTTGGCCAGAGGACCAGCTGTGGTATGGGGAGTTCTCATGTCCCAGGTGAGGGACAGGGTCAGTTCTAATCAGAAAGAGTCCTGTGGGATGGTGGCTGGCGAGACTGATGAGACCATGAAGCAGCAAGCACTGCCCAAGGAAGGGATGCTGTGGGCCTGGACTAAGGCTGTGGGCTGCAGGGAAGGGGCTGGATCCCAGAGAGAATCTGTGAGGGGTGGGGTGGGGTATGGGAAAGGAGGAGGAGGGCCTGCATGACCCTGGGCCTCAGGTATGACCGCCAGGCATCGGATCGCTCAGCTGCCATAGCAAGTCCACAGTAGGCCTGCTCCCGCTAGGGCACGGGGACAGCGATGCCACTGAGCTTGGGAAGGTAAGGGATGCCTAGCCTCTGCTAGAGGCCAGGCCCCACTGTGCCAGCCATCTCCTGACCACCAACAGGACTCCTGTTGTTGGATCTTGGCTCTGGGTGTCCCCATGGGAAGTGTCCTGACCCGACATCTGAGCGGCAGCCATAGCCAGGGTGCTCTGCTTCCCACCCCTGCGTCATTTCTCCAGTGTTCATCACCACCCAGGCACTGCTTCGTCTCCCACTAGAAAGGAAGCTCACTCCTGGCCCTGGACAGCCCCAGGCCTGGCATGTGGTGGGCGTGGTGACAAATGCTGCACCCAGGGCTGGTGAGGGGTGGGCTCTGTGGTCAGCCCCTGGGAAGGAAGGAGCCCGGCACGTCACCTGCCCAGCACGGTCATAGCCTCGCCCTCGTCGCTGCAGCCCAGCAGCTGCTCCATGTTGGCATCCAGGACGGCCAGGGCCACCTGCAGGATCACCTTGATGCCCTCGTAGAAGAAGCAGTCGACAATGACCACGGCACTCTCGAAGGGCATGACGCTGAGGAAGAGGGTCAGGAACCACGACAGCGAGATGCTGGAGATCACCCCCAGGTCCTGCATCTTCTCTGAGAGCTGGGGCAGAAAGTCCCTCGTGAGCTCTTCGAAGATGCCCTGGTCCACCAGGGCTCCTGCGGAGGTGGAGGGAGCATGGGGTGAGCCCACACTGTGGCCTCAGGCACTCCTCAAGGTGGGGCCAGGTCTAGGGCTCGGGGGCCCAGTGGTCCCTGCCACTTGGCCCTACCAGCTCCATACAGTGAGGGCTGAAGGGAGCACCGGTGCGGGGTGACAGCAAGGAAGGAGAGAGCCTGCACGTACGTGCCCTTCTACAGCGGCCAAACCATGGTATGAAAGGGCTGTCTCTTCCACTATACTTGAATTTTCTTTTGGGGAAATACTAGTCTCTTCCTGAAGGTGTCAGAAGTAAGCAGTGGCCTCAGTGTCTTGTTTTGATGCCTGTGAACAGGTGCAACCCTGAAGGACCCCAAGAGTAGTAACTCCAAGCACCAAATAGTAGGGGAAGGGAATCTTAGAATAACAGACTTACATATATATATGTATAATTAAATACATATATGGATATAAGCCCACGTCCATTTCATTTCCATTTCCATGTGAGAATACATCTTTTACTGGATGTCAGTTTATGAAGTTGAAGTTGGGCAAAGGGTACATGTGGGTATATATATTATGCTTTAGTTTTTTTTTTTTTTGAGACAGAGTCTCACTTTGTTGCCCAGGCTAGAGTGAGTGCCGTGGCGTCAGCCTAGCTCACAGCAAACTCAAACTCCTGGGCTCAAGTGATCCTCCTGTCTCAGCCTCCCGAGTAGCTGGGACTATAGGCATGCACCACCATGCCTGGCTAGTTTTTTGTATACATACTTTTTTTAGTTGGTCAATTAATTTCTTTCTATTTTTAGTAGAGACGGGGTCTCGCTCAGGCTGGTTTCGAACTCCCGACCTCAAGCGATCCGCCCGCCTCGGCCTCCCAGAGTGCTAGGATTACAGGCGTGAGCCACCTTGCCCGGCCTATGCTTTAGTTTTAATGTCTGAAATTTTCTATAATAAAAAAGTTTAGGAAAAGTGAGAAGGATGGGAATTTAGGCTCCAGGAGGACTTTTGAAAACCACCAGATGTGTAACAGCCTCTAATTCTCATAGGCAGTAACTCCTAGGGAGCCCGAATGAAGTCTGGGCAGGAGTCTCAGCCACGTAGGCAGATAGTTGGGGCGTCTGTGTCAGCTTGTCCCTCTCTGGCGGTGTGACTGTTTCTCAGATTCCCACTCTGTAAGGCGGGGACAATGCCTGTGTGCAGCCTCAGGACGGCTATGAGGCCTACAGATGCTCACCTGTGGGGAGGACTCAGCACGGAGCCTGGCCTGGGAAGGACTGCTACCCCATGGCAGCCACCGGGCAACTGGAGACTAGGCAAGGGAGCGCCTGCGACACTCACCCACCACCCTGGTGTTGTAGTAGTCCGGCAACATGCGCTCACAGAGGGCCACCAGGAGCCAGAAGGCCTCCTCCTCACTGCCATAGAGCAGGAGCACCGAGGTCACGATGTTCATGGCCTGCCGGGCACAGAGACAGCGGGGGAGGCTCACACTGCTGGCCCCCAAATAAAACTGCCCCTCCTCCAAAAGTGTCCTGCACCAGCATTCTTCTCCAATCAAGTCTGCCCCTCAGGACAGCCTGGCGTTTGGCAATGAGAAGCTGTCCCAGCCCAACTCTCGGATATTTGCCAAAAGGCAATTTGTAGGAAATCAATTTGACAGAGACGGTCATCTAACTCCTTTGAGCTGAGCCAGAAGGCACCAGACGAATGGGGAAGGCGGACACCCGGACATCACACTTCTGAGGAGTGGCACCTGGCACTGGAGGTGTGACGCAGGGCCAAGTGGACACGTGAGTGAGCGTGTGGCCGGAGCCCGCAGAGGCAGGAGACGGCGGTGCCCACTGGCTGCGGGGCAGATGTGGCAGAACTGGGACTGCACAGGCCTAATAAGACTTTCAGGGCAAACAGAAAGCCATTTGACCTGGCCAGGGAAATGCACACTAGATTTAAAATCAAAAGCTATGAGAAATGCTAGATTTAAAATCAAAAGCACAGTGGATACCTCCTCATACCCATTACTTTAAAAAGAGAAAACCAGTAACAGAATATAACAAGTGTTGTAGAGGATATGGAGAAATTGGAACGCTTGTGAATTGCTGGTGGGAATATAAAATAGTGTAGCTGCTGTGGAGAGTCCTCAAAAAATTAAAAATAGAACTATTGTACAATCTAGCAATTCTACTTCTGGATATATAGCCCCCAAAACTGAAAGCAGGTATTCAAACAGATATTTGTATGGCCACGTTCACGGCAGCATTATTCACGATAGCCAAGAAGTGGAAGCAACCCAAGTGTTCATCAGTGGATGAATGGAGAAACAAAATGTGGTATATTCATACCATGGAATATTATTCATCCTATGAAGGAAGGAAATGCTGACATATGCTACAACCCAGATGAACCCCAAGGACATTATGCTAAGTAAGATAAGCCAGACACAAAAGGACAAATATCGTGTGATTTCACTCACACAAGGTACTTAGAGTAGTCAAATTCATAGGGACAGAGTGAGATAGTGGTTGCTAAGGGTGGCTGGGGGTTGGGGAGCGTTTAACCAGTACAGAGTTTCAGTTTTGCAACATGGTAAGAGCTCTGGAGACGGATGGTGACGACAGTTACACAACAATGTGAATGTATTAATTCCAGCTAAACAAACTGTGCACTTAAAAATGGTTTTGATGATAAACTTTACGTTATGTGTATTTATTTTACCACACACACAAAACAATCAAACGCTGCTAGCACCCAGATGAGAAGCACACAGAAGACAACTTAATACATGGCATAGAGATGAGATGAACAATTAACACTGTTTCTATCTATTGTTTTTTTTTTTTTTGAGACAGAGTCTCACTTTGTTGCCCAGGCTAGAGTGAGTGCTGTGTCATCAGCCTAGCTCACAGCAACCTCAAACTCCTGGGCTCAAGCAATCCTCCTGCCTCAGCCTCCCGAGTAGCTGGGACTACAGGCATGCGCCATCATGCGTGGCTAATTTTTTGTATATATATTTTTAGTTGGTCAATTAATTTCTTTCTATTTTTAGTAGAGACGGGGTCTCGCTCAGGCTGGTTTCGAACTCCTGACCTCAAGCAATCCGCCCACCTCGGCCTCCCAGAGTGCTAGCATTACAGGCGTGAGCCACCGCGCCCGGCTGTTTTAAAATTACATCTTCTAGGCCGGGCGCGGTGGCTCACGCCTGTAATCCTAGCTCTTGGGAGGCCGAGGCGGGCGGATTGCTCAAGGTCAGGAGTTCAAAACCAGCCTGAGCAAGAGCGAGACCCCGTCTCTACTATAAAATAGAAAGAAATTAATTGGCCAACTGATATATATATAAAATTAGCGGGCATGGTGGCGCATGCCTGTAGTCCCAGCTACTTGGGAGGCTGAGGCAGAAGGATCGCTCGAGCCCAGGAGTTTGAGGTTGCTGTGAGCTAGGATGACGCCACGGCACTCACTCTAGCCTGGGCAACAAAGCGAGACTCTGTCTCAAAAAATAAATAATAAATAAATAAATAAATAAATAATAAAATAAAATAAAATAAAATAAAATAAAATAAAATAACATCTTCTGCAGTTGGGCTCCTTCCCCGGATGCACAGGGCAGAGTCTCGGGTGTGTGAGGCCACCACACGGGCCCAGGGCCACAGGGGCCTGCTCCTGCGAGCCTCTAGTGGGGAGATGCTGTCTCTGGGACCCTGCTAAGCCCCTTTACCTGGCAGTACCCGATGGTGGGGTTCCGGAAAGCATAGGCAGTCAGCACCCGCCGGAGCGCGGCAATCCCCAGCTCATTCTGGAAGGCGGGGTGCTCAGGCATGGATCGGTGGAGGTCTCTCTCGATCTCCTCCGTGGCCAGGCTGCACTTCCCCGTGGACTTCCCCACCAGCTCTGCGTAGTAGCCGGGGTGAGTTACCATCTCATTCCAAGCCCCTGGGAGACACAGGAAATAGCTGTCTCTCTCTTCCTCTCAGTACTTTGGGGGCAACAGCAGGGCAGAATGGAGACATCAGTGCCCCACAGAGGAGCAAAAACTATGGGATCAACCGGGAGGTGTGACACAAGGTTTCCCCAGAGACTGCTCCTGGGGAGGGGCGCCCCACCCAAGAAGCTGGAGCAGCTGACCTGCCCTCCTCCTGGGTGGCAGGGCGGGGGGCGGTGGTGAGGGCTGTCTGAGCCTATCCCAAGGAAAGGAGGCTTCGTGGGGGCCCGTCTGCCTACCACTGAGGGTAGGAAGGCTCCAGCAGAGTACTGGGCCCTGGCCTTGCCCTTCAGGATGCTGCCCTGGCTTGGGCCCCACACACAACCCAGAGCATGGCTGCCTGGCCTGAGAGGGCTGTGGCCTCCTGCCAGCCAGCCTCAAGAGGTGCCCGAGGGCCAGGCCAGCTCACGAGAGGAGAGCCGTGGGGGCCTGACTGGCTGGGCCAAGGCCATGGGTGGCCGGACCCCACTCACCGGAGAAGAGGAGCCACAGCTCTCCCCGGAGGCTCTCAGGGACACCCTTCAGGACCAGCTCGCGCGTCCTGGCCGTGCGGTACATGCATACGCCACGCCCATATTCAAAGAAGTGGATGTTCCATGATTCTTCTTTCATCTTCTCCTTGGCCTGAAGGAAAAGCAAACCAAGGAACTTGGGAGCTGAAGTGCGTTTCGGAGCTTGGAAGCCCAGGTGACAAAGCCCTCCTCCCCTTTCTTCTCTGAGCCACAAGAAAGCCTGCTATGTAAAAAATCTAGACGGTGGCAGCCAGCAAGCCCAGACTGCAAAGTGGTGGCTGGCAAAGATGCAGGCGCAGCTGAGGCTTAGCTGGACCACACCACCATGCTAGCGCCAGGAGGCGGCTACGCAGCAGTGGGCAGCCTCTTCCCTCGGGACGCCCAGAGTCCACAGCAAGCAGCACCGGCAGGCAGGGCAGGGGGGCTCTCCCCAGGGACCAGCTGGTCCCTCTCACACTGCTGAGTACAGCCCCCAGAGGCCACTGCCCGTCAGGGAGCCCAAGGAGGCTGTAGCACTGTGCCCAAGGCTCACCCCTTTGGCTCCGAGGTCCTCCATGGGCGAGTTTCCCTGGAAGAGCTTGAGCAGACCCTGGGAAGCAGTCGGCGCCTCCTGTGCACAGAAGCTCTGGTGGCTGCTGAGGGGAGAGGCCAGGCTGGTGGGCTGCTCTGGCACCTCCTGAGGAGCTGAGGAAGACTAGAAAATAAAACAGGGAAGGGGAGGCCCTAACAACGGAGCTTCCTGGGGCCTCTATTGTGCACGTCCACCCATATTTGGACAGTGATGCCTGTGAAGAAGGGTCATGGAGCTGGACAGCACTGGCTGGGCACAAGGCCATGGCTGCAGCCCAGACCTCAGCCCTCTCTGGCAGGCTGGACACCCACCCATGCTGGTGAGTCAAGGGTCTCAGGGGAAAGTGGGTTCTGGGCTCATCCTGTTGGGCCCTTATGTCAGTAAGGTTGGTGCAAAGGGGAGGAAGAAATCCCATTTTTATCTGGGGGCACACCCCTCTCTACTCTCAGGCCCGATGCTTTGTGAGCTCCACGGAGGCCTGGGTGATGGCCCCTATGACATTGGTCTGGGCTCGGGGATGGGTTCAGGTGACTGTGTAACCTGGCTGCCACCAAGGAAATGCAGTAGGGCCTCTGCAAGGAGTGTTGGGGTGAGCCAGGCAGGACACAGGTCTGCTGCCACCATCCTGGTGCTCCATGGGCCTGAGAGGGACGCCGTCCTGGCAGGAAGCAAAGCCCAGTGGGAGGCCCCAGCTGGATGACAGGCTCTGCAGGCCAGTCAACTCCTGCGCACTCGGCTCTGGCCTACGCCGGGATCTCTGTTCCCCACACCCTCCTGTCAGCTCTGGTCTACCCAGGGCCAGAGGTCCTAGAACACTTCACCTTCTCTGTGATTCTTAAGAGAACCCTGACCTTGATTGTGGTGATAGTTTCACAGGGGTAGACCTATTAAAACTTAGCAAACTGTACTCTTTAAATATGTACAGTATATTGTACATCAATTTTATCTCAAGCTGTTTTTATTGAAAAAGGAAAAAAGAAAGAACTCTGTTAGGTTCATACCCACAGTCTACCCCTCTACCCTTAGCTGGTGCTGTAGAAATGGACCGTAGGTGCACCTAAATTTTTATAACAGAATGCCTGCACCCGAGGGAAGGGCCCAGGGCAGGCCAGCCATGCCCCGACTGTGGACGTTCTGCCTCCGGCCTGAGCTTCCCCACAGGGACCAGGACACAGGTGGGCTCGCAGGACACAGAGCACCTCAGAGAATCAAAAATCTCAGTGCCAAGAAAGGAGACAAACTCCAGGATGTGTCCTACATGGTAGACACACGTTCCCAGTGAGATGGCCAGCATGGCCCCAAGCGGGCGGGCCCGGCTGCTTCCAGCCAAGGCCAGGTCAGGTCATACCTTATAGATGCTCAGTGCTGCCTATGACCCTGCACTCTCCCAGTTCAGTCCTGTTCCCTTCCCCTGGGTAACCATCTCACACATCTGTCCAGCACAAATCTCCAAAACCACCTCCCATCCTCACCTCCTACTGACCCACACTTCTCATTTCTGTTTAAGTGAACGGGCACATGCCAATGCGACCTGGGCCCTCTACCACACCTTCCCACCCTCTGCCCCACACCTGAGGCCATTCTCTGGCCAGGGCCCCAGCCCCAGTGTCACCTCCTCCCCTCCCCAGGATGTGCCCCGAGGCACAGTCCTGCTGCAATAACCCTCCCCCAGTTGCAGGCACTGCTCATCCACACACCCTTTGATAAGACTGCCAAGGCATACACTATGGCACGTGCACTCAGTGGGTCTATGTTATACTTCAACTGAAAAGCCAGCTCCCACAGTAACCCCCGATATGCTGACCGTTAATACAGTTTCTTCAGAGAGTTGCCTAACCTCATGGTATCCTTCCCCACCCCAAGTGTTTTTCCCTGTCAAAAAGAGTATGTTGGCCGGGCGTGGTGGCTCACGCCTGTAATCCTAGCACTCTAGGAGGCCGAGACGGGAGGATTGCTCGAGGTCAGGAGTTCGAAACTAGCCTGAGCAAGAGCGAGACCCCGTCTCTACTATAAAGAAATTAATTGGCCAACTAATATATATAGAAAAACTTAGCTGGGCATGGTGGTGCATGCCTGTAGTCCCAGCTACTTGGGAGGCTGAGGCAGTAGGATCACTTGAGCCCAGGAGTTGGAGGTTGCTATGAGTGAGGCTGACGCCACGGCACTCACTCTGGGCAACAAAGCGAAACTCTGTCTCAAAAAAAAAAAAAAAAAAAGAGTATGTTTATGCTGCAATAGTTACCTCTATGCTATAATAATATCTTTTTTTGTTGTTTTTTTTTTTGAGACAGAGTCTCACTTTGTTGCCCAGGCTAGAGTGAGTGCCGTGGCGTTAGCCTAGCTCACAGCAACCTCAATCTACTGGGCTCAAGCGATCCTCCTGCCTCAGCCTCCTATGTAGCTGGGACTACAGGCATGCGCCACCATGCCCGGCTAATATTTTTCTATATATATTAGTTGGCCAATTAATTTCTTTCTATTTATAGTAGAAACGGGGTCTCACTCTTGCTCAGGCTGGTTTCGAACTCCTTACCTTGAGCGATCTGCCCACCTCGGCCTCCCAGAGTGCTAGGATTACAGGGGTGAGCCACTGCGCCTGGCCAATAATATCTTTATATAGTTCCCTTAGTGTCCCCTCTTTTTTTCTGCTTTGATCTGGAAGTTATAACACATTACGTTTAATTGGCAAAGTAGAGAAGCATGAAGGCAGGGTATACATTCTTAGATCTATTGAATTATATCAGCTGGAAACATTATAGTAAAGATACATTAGTGTCTGTTCAAAGAGGCAAACCTAAATATATCTTGTCATTTTATGGGGTAATGGCACAAGTTTTAGTATGACTACTGAGATTTTAAAAACTCACCTTTTGAGATATTAAACTGGTTTTATGCAAGTCAGCATAAAAGAAGATGGTTAATGACAGTGAATTGAAGATGCCAAGATAGACAATCCACATAACTAAAAATGTATTATCTTTCATATATCATCAGTATGACATACACTCTGAGAAGTAAAGACTAACAGTTTTTCCTGAATTAATCGTACTTTTTAAATTTTTAAAAATTAGTTGTATTTTTAAATGGACTAGAATAGTGGTTTTCAAACCTGGCTGTGCTTCAGAATCCATTGGGGAACTTGTCAAAATGCATAATTATTTGCTGCCACACCCAGACTTACCCAGCATATCCATGGATGTGCTAGGATTTGGGAGTGCATTTAAAGAGGTGCCCTTTAAATAGTGCCCCCTCTTTTTAAGATAATGTCAATGATCTTTTATGGGCAATATTGAAATTACCTGGTAATCCTCTTTTTTCACTCTCTTCCCTCTCCCGCCAATATGTGACTTAAAGGATATTCTTTCGATCTGAATTAATAAAGCAACCAATGTGCTCAGTCTATATTCCACATCCCTTCTCATTGCATGCTTTCATTGTGCTATCTCCAGTGCCATAATGTCCCCTCCATCCTCACTATTTAGCCTTGTTTCTACAGTAAATACATTCAATGTTCCCACCAGTTCTCATGCCAAAGCTTCTTCAATCATTTCTTGGTTGTCTGGAGTTTGTTCTCCAGTAGGTTCCCCAGAAGCTGGTGCAGTCACTGAATTCCTCTGCACATCTTTACAGGCTGTGGGCTCTATGGATAAGGGTCAGTCTGACTGGGTATAAAAGTCTTGGGTCACAGCTTCTTGTATTGTGTATCTTTTTTTTTTTTTTTGAAATACAACTTTATTCTGACTCTAAACGAAAAGGAATAAGAAGGACAGTTAACAAACAGGATTTCACCACCAAATATTGTGATGTGACTGTAGCAATCTTATATTTGAAACTCAAGGAGGAATCACCTGCATTCCAAAACAGCTAAATATGCAGGACCAAACAATGAAGGTATTTTTTTTAAACTGCCATTCACTCCAAAGCCCATTCATCTTGGTACTGTATATCTTAAAAATGTTACTCTATTTTTATAAAATGTTACTACAGTATCAAAAAATCTGACCTGATGCCTCTCTGATCTTCATTCCTTCATATATAACTTGGTCTTTTGGTTGCCCAAAAGAATTTTTAACTGGATAGATGGATGGATGAGTGGGTGGATTGACTGATTTACACACACACACACACACACACACACACACACACACACACACACACACTCTCTCTCTCTCTCTGCTGCCCAGGCTGGAATGCAGTGGTGTCATTATAGCTCATTGCAACCTCAAACTCTTGGCCTCACGTGATCCTCCTGCCTCAGCCTTCTGAAGTGCTAGGATTACAGGCGAGAGCCACCATGTCCCTTGCTTCTCTCAAGTTTCTGTTCCAATGTCACCTGATCAGAGAGGCTGCCCATGAACACAAGATAAAATGGAGCCCTCCTTTCCCCTGGCACTCCTGAGCCCCTCATCCTGCTTTGTTTTTGTCTACAGCCCTTGTCATGGCCTGACATATACATTTATTGACTACTATCTCACTAGACTACAAGCTCTAAGCTTTGCGCAGTGGCAGTATCGTAGCCAATGAGGTTTATCCGAGGCGCGATTATTGCTAATTGAAAACTTTTCCCAATACCCCGCCATGACGACTTGCAATATAGTCGGCATTGGCAATTTTTGACGGTCCCCACGGGGACTGGATTTAAAAAAAAAAAAAAAAAAAAAAAAAAAAAAAAAAAAAAAAAAAAATACAAGCTCTAAGAGGGCATGTGTCATGTCTACTTTGTTCATTGCTTTACTTAGTGGGTAGAACAGCAGCTAGTACCTAACGGGAATGTGGTAAAGACGTGCAGGATGAGCAAGTGGACAGGGCCCAGGAAGGTGCCAGACTGGTACTTAACTCGCCATTAGGCCTATTGTTCAAGGTGTGGGGCCTCGTGAAGGCACAGGTGTCTTGACTGCCCTGCTCATGGCCTCGTCACCCAATCCAACTTCATCATTTCTTGAAATCCTAGATAAAGCCCAATCTCCTCTACACCCTTCTTAATGTGGCCAATCCACTCTGATTCTGCCCGCCACTTCCCACCCCATCTGTGTATGTAATCATGTATTCAGCATCCAGGGGTGGACAATTTAAAGGCCTGCTGGGCCAGATCCATGGGGCTCTAGGGCACTGAGGCCCTTGCAGTGCCAGTGCTGGTGGCCTTGGGGGTAGGGCCCTGTAGGGCCAGGCTGCTGATTTTTCCAGAGAAGTCAGATTTGTGGACTTTTATAGGGATTCTTCTAATGGTTAAGTGTTTTACAAATTCAGACTGAACAACAACAGCACACCCTTCTTATCATACCAGGAAGCAAGGAAGCCACCAGATGACCAGGAATGTGTCCAAGGACTTCCCAGGAGCCAGCCCAGATGAGCCCCCTGGTCACAGATGAAAAGAGAACATGACTGTCATGGAGGGACACATGTCAAGTTGTTCATAGTTATACTAAAAGGTAAACACAAAGAACTCCTTGCTTACATTTGGAGGATACTAGAAAACCAACTCATCATTACTTTGACAACTGGTGAATAAAAGAAATGAGAAAAAGATTTACTCTGCCTTTCCTATATATAAATTGTGCCTCTGGGTAACTGAATCGTCAATGAGGGTGGTTTCTCTTTGTGGGAGCATTCCAGCTACCAAACAGAGGGGTGACAGTGTGAGGCTGCTGCCACCTTGCGATCCCCAGTGCAGGCTGGGTCTGGCAATGCTCTCAGCGACCGACAGTTGCACACAGAGAGGTGACTGGCTGCCATGCACCTCTTGCTGAAAACACACAGCGCCTCAACGCTGCCTACAGGTACAACTGCCCAAATTCAATCGAGGTTCTGGATCTCACTGCTCAACCAAGTTACAGGAAACAAGGGACAAAGGAACTGTTCTATGACTGCAGGGGATGCAATCAGCAAAAACCAGACTGTGAGAGACTCTGTACCACAAATGACCCAATTCCTTCAACAAAATACCGCAAGAGAAAAACTGAAGAGGGCAGAGCAGACACCTATAGATTAAAAGGGACTTAAGAGACATAGCAAACAGCAGTAATGTATTTTTTGTGTACCTCAATTCAAATAATCAAACTATAGTAAGTACATCTGCACTCAGGGAAATGTGAATACAAGTATCTGATGCTATTAAGGAATTACTGTCAAGTCTGTTGTTACAATAATTATATTACTGGTTTGTTTTTTGGTTTTTTTTTCGGAGATGGGGTCTCACTCTGCTGCCCAGGCTGGAGTGCAGTGGTGTGATCATGGCTCACTGCAGCCTCGAACTCCTGAGCTTAAACGATCCTCCTGCCTCAGCCTCCTGAGCTGCTGAGAATATAGGCATGAGCAACTGCACCCAGCCAGGTGAGTCTTTAAAAGGGGTCTCTACCTTCAAGAACTTCAGATGGAAAGACTGACAGGTAAAGGCCACGTGAACAAATGAGAGGCAGACAGGCCTCCCCAGCGCCCCCATTGCTCTCAGTGCAGCTGGTGCTCAGGAAGGATAGAGAAGGCCCCTCAGGGGAACTGGCAAAACGCTGGGCAAGAAAAGGACTAGGGGGTGTGGGCGGCGCTGCAGTGGTCACTGGGAGGTGGGGAGTGTGGCTGGGACATCTGAGACCATGGTGCTGGGTCGGGCTGTTCATCTGTAACACAGGGTGGTCTCTTTCCAGCTCCCACAAATCGTCCTCTCAGCCCAAGGCCCACAGCATGCACCATTGGGCCAGGTGGTGGCCACCCTGGCTCTTCCCTGGCCCTGACCCCACCTGGCTGCTCCCAGGGGGCCCCTCTCACCTCTGGGCCTGGGTCCACAATGCTGACTTTCCTCCCCTCGAAGCTGCTGCCTGGCTGCTTGGATGGCGTTTTCTGGAGGAAGTCGGAGATCCTTTGAACCAAGAAATCACGGTCTTTCAGGTTGGCAAAGAGGAAGGTCATTTTACTTTTGGTGCTAATAGACAGAGGGCTGGGCAGGACACTGGAGCTGTCAGCTTTTTCAACAATGGTCACCTGAGAAGACAAAAGCACTCTCTTGGGCATTTGCATCTTAGGACCTGACGCTGGGTGTGCTTTGTGAATGTGCGACGACCACAGTTGTCCAGGGTGCCTCTCCTAAGCACAGTGCAGTGAGTGGCTGGACTGGATTCATACTGACTCTGCCACCTACTGTGTGTGGCCTCGAAAAGCTGCTTGCACATCTAAGTTCTGTTTCTTCCCTGTTGATGGGGGTGAACAGGGTGGTCATGCAGGGCCTTTCTGAAGGTGACGATAAAAACAGAAAACGCCTGGCCCAGCTGCTGGTCCTGGCTGGCTGCTGGAGAGATGCAGTCGCTGCTCTGCTCTACAGCAGGATGAGCACCCCTCACCTGCATGGCCGTCCCTAGCACTTGTTCCCAGCAAAACTTCGTGACAGTGTGGATTCCGGAGCTTGGCTCTGATGCCCTCTGGGTGTGGCTGCTGGGCTTTCAGTGGGAGCAGAGCCCGAGGCCCACAAGGAGATGGATAAGGGAGTTAAAGGCCAGGAACAGGCAGTAGGCGTGAGTGCTGGTAAGGGTGAGTGGGGAGCTCGTGCTGAGGACATCTATGGGGACCTGATGACTTAGCTGATCCCTGGTCCAGCGAGTGAGGCACTGGGGAAGAGATGGGGCAGAGGCCTGGAAACCGCCTTCAGGTGTCAGTGAGACTGGCTTGAGGGAGGCAGAGAAGGCCAGAGAACTGGGTCAGGGTGAGCAGGGATGGGGAATGGCGGATGTGTGTCTGCCATCCAATGGGGGCAGACACTCACAGTGGCCTCACAGGTCACAGGAGGCAGGGGAGGCTTCTTCTGAACCAGAAGATGCTAGAGGAATCTAAGCAGGGCACCAACAAGCTCTGATTGAGATTTTATTATTATTTTTATTTTTGTGAGACAGTCTCACTCTATTGCCTGGACTAGAGTGCCGTGGCATCTCAAACTCCTGGGCTCAAACAATCCTCCTGCCTCAGCTGCCCAAGTAACTGGGATTCCAAGGATGCGCCACTACGCCAGGCTAATTTTTTCTATATATTTTAGTTAACCAATTAATTTCTTTCTATTTTTAGTAGAGATGGGTCTTGCTCTTGCTCAGACTGGTTCCCAACTCTTGACCTTGAGAGATCCTCCCCCCTCAGCCTCCCAGACTGATAGGATTACAGGCATGAGCTGACTGACATTTTAAACTTCACTGGCTGTTGTGGAAGGATGTGTCATAAAGGAGTTAGGTTTAGTCAGGACTCCAGTGGTACCCCCAAAAGAAAACAGGCTGGGAGTGGTGGCTCACACCTATAATCCTAGCTCTCTGGGAGGCTGAGGTGGGCGGATCGTTTGAGTTCAGGAGTTCGAAACCAGCCTGAGCAACAGCGAGACCCCGTCTCTACTATACACAGAAATAAATTAATAGGCCAACTAATATATATATAAAATTAGCCGGGCATGGTGGCGCATGCCTGTAGTCCCAGCTACTCGGGAGGCTGAGGCAGGAGGATCGCTTGAGCCCAGGAGTTTGAGGTTGCTGTGAGCTAGGCTGAGGCCACCGCACTCACTCCAGCCTGGGCAACAGAGCAAGACTCTGTCTTAAAAAAAAAAAGAAAACACTGCATTGGGTGGTAGTGGAGGAGAGGAAGCCTCACAGGGAGCCCGAGGGAGGCCCTGTGGGTAGGGAGTGGGGATGAGGAGAAGGGAGGAGCAGTGGGTAAGGAGTGGGGATGAGGAGGAAGAGGGAGGGGCAGTGGGTAGGGAGTGGGGATCAGGAGGAGGAGGGAGGGGCAGTGGGTAGGGAGTGGGGATGAGGAAGAGGGAGGAGCAATGGGTAGGGAGTGGGGATGAAGAGGGAGGGAGGGGCAGTGGGTAAAGAGTGGGGATGAGGAAGAGGAGGAGGGCAATGGTAGGGGAGTGGATTCAGAGGAGGAGGAGGCGAGTGGAATAGGGAGTGGACGATGAGGCGAGGAAGGGAGGGGCAGTGGGTAGGGAGTGGGGATGAGGGAGGAGCGGAGGGCCAGTGGTGGGTGGGATGAGAGGAGGAGGGCCAAGTGGGTCAGGAGTGGATGAAGGAGGAGGAGGAGGGGCAGTGGGGTAGGAGTGGGGATGAGGAGGGGGGGCGGCAGTGGGGTAGGAGTGGGATAGGAGGAGGAGGGAGGGGCAGGTGGTAGGAGTAGGGATGAGGAAGAGGAGGAGGGCCAGTGGTGGGAGTGGGATGAGGAGGAGAGGGAGTGGGTAGGATGGGGATGAGGAGGAGGAGGA